CTGATGGGATCTGGCACGCCTCGTCCGGCTCTTGGTTGAAGTTGATTTGCACTGCTTCCCTTGCTTCAATTGATGCGGATCTCAGGCGCCTAGACCTTTCCAAATTCTCCCTCAAGTCTACAGTGCCGGTTATGGATTTGACCGTGAGCCTGATGCGACTCGGCTTTTCCTCTTGGTCCACTTCAAACGGGGGGGGGGGGGGGGGGGGGGGTATCATCGGCTCCTGTGGGGTCCTTGGCCTTTCAGGCGCCTCATGGGTCCTTGGGGCTTCATGCATCTTTGAGTTCCTCGTGACTTCCGGCGCCTGCCTCGTCACGTACGTCCGGTGGGTCCTGTCTTCTGCCCTCCTAACAAAGTCATTGAGCATGCCCTTGTCGGCTAAAGCCTGCAATTCGGCCTTAAGTTGGTAGCAGTCGGCCGTGTAGTGCCCCTTGTCGCGATGAAAGTCACAATACCTATCAAGGTTCTTCTCGTTTGGTTGGCCGCGCATGGGCCCCGGCCACCGTATGTGGTAGCCCCTATCCTTCACGTACTGTAGTACGTTTTTTAGCGTATCATTATATTCCGTAAAATTGGCTGAGCTTCTCGGCATGGGGCGAGGCGCCTCGGGTCTTCTTTGCGGACCAAAATTCCCAGATGGTACCCGTGGCGCCTGCCTTGCCTCCAATTCGTCTCCCCTCAGGCGCCTCTTTTCAGCTCTCCTCGCCGCCAACGTCTCCTCCAACATGATTACCTTCTGCACCCTTCGGTCCAGGTCTTCTGTGGACACCACATCCCGCTTAGAAAGGACTCGGCAGAGTTCTTCGCTCGAGGTACAAGCGTCTAAGCAAACCCCCAGTACTGCCGGTTGGACATCCTTGACCGCCATGGCCACAGAGATCCACCGGTCATAAAATTCTCTAAGCGCCTCCCCTTCCCTCTGCTTTACCTTGAACAATGCGCCTATGGTTAGTGTCCGACGCTTCCTACTTGCGAATTTGGACAAAAATAACTCCGCAAACTGCTCAAAACATTCTATGCGCCCCTCTTCGATTTGATGGTACCAATCCAATACTACGCCTGCAAACGTGGATGGGAACACCTTGCATAACGTGGCGTCTGAGCTGTTGTAAAGTTGCATCTTCGTGAAGTAGCTGTTCAAATGATCTTCTGGGTTCGCCACCCCGTCGTAACTGGGTAACGGGGGAATTGTGGTTCCCGCCGGTTCCACTAGGATGCTTCGCGCCAATGGTTGCCGGACTCCGAACCGCTTGGCGATTCTTCTAGGCGCCCACAAGTCTTCTGGCTCCGCCTGGGTATGCTCAGCAGGCATTTTCCAGGCGCGTGAACGCCTTGGTACGTCATGTCCTTGATCAGCTTGGTATGGGTGCCCGTGTTGCAAAGATTCCGAATCCTCCCCCATTCTTTCTCGCTTCCTAGCTCCTGGGCTATGCATCATCACGTCCTCACTTCGCTCCCCATCCAACTCCCTTCTGAGCGCCGCAATGGCCCGATCTTGGTCGGCTATAATTCGAAATAGCTCTCTCTTCGTCAAAGATTCCCCTTCATCCGCCGATAGGCGCCCAGGGCTCGCTTCCCCTTCCGCCTCCATGTTCAACTCCCGGCTCGGTTGCTGCTCGCCTTCCTCATGACTCGAGTTGTTCAACCTCGAAACGTCTTCCCCGTCGTTCGCAACGTTCAAGTTTTCCATGCCGCCCCCTATCTGGCGCGCCAATTGTTTGTGCCACGTTCCTCGTGTCCCACCCCGCTTGATCTCAACCCTTTCGTACTCACTTGGGGCGCCCGGATCCTGCAAGGACAAGCGCCTAAAGGGCTTGGGAATGCCCGTTAGCACTCCGACGCCCAAGTCAGAACCAAGTCTAGAGAGAGAAGTATAAAGTCGGGTTTTAGTCTGAGCAGCCAACCTCCATAAATGCTATCGACTGCCCCTATTTATACTCACCGAACCCGAGGTTGATCTCCGCCACGTCACCATCCTCATTTAATGCTCTGTGCCCCTCTGTGAGGCAGCTAACCGCCCTGTCAGGCTCCTGACACCTGACAGGCATCCCACAGCTCTGCCAGGCTCCTGACACACGACAGGCGCCCGCAGGCAGTGGTCCGCCAGCCAGTTGGCCGCCACCTGGCTTTTGGTGCTTTATTCTTAAGATCTCTTCTCTTGTTTGGGCCCAAGGGCCACTAGTGGATATTGACTCTTATCTTTTGGGCCTTGCCCCCCAACTCCTTCTTTGGGAGCCCAAACTCCTAGCTTGCTGGGCAATACCCCAACAATTATTATTATTATTATTATTATGAAGATGGATATATGTTGTATTCATTTTCGTTGGTTCGCGTCTTCTCCTCTTATAGTTAGACGTACGTACACACCTATCTCGGTTAGTAACCACTTCCGTATAACAAAGTCATGCGAGATTAATATTAATTACACGTAGTCAGATAAAACAAACGAGATTATGGTTATGGAGACAAAGGAACGAGTCATTAGGGTAGGAGACCCCGCGCCTTTTGTCTTTACCTACCGGATATAAGCATAGACTTTGACTGCAGTTTTGCTTAGTTTCCTCCCCTAAATGTTAATTAATTAACTAATTAATATTGAATAGATTCCTTTTCCTACAACAACCATCCCATATCGTCCTTAATTTGTTAGAAGGGGTGAATTATATTTGACAGTTTCTTGTGAGAGAAATCATACATGAGATTCATTTTATATTCTACAAAGAACTCGATTATTGTAAGTTTTATCATACATGTGATTCTAAAAATATGATTGATTTAAACAAAGTTTAACTATATTGATTTGGCTTTCGTTTGAGTATGCATTTAAGAAAATAGTATATTTATAATTCATTATTAACTTTCTCTTAATAATTGATCTTATTGGGACCAGACATATTTTATCTTGGAAATAATATTTTCTATTATTTTTAATAACATTCCATATATACAATTGACAATGGCACCTAAATTTTTTTTTTTTTTTTAAAGAGAGCACTGCAAATTACAGTATGTCTTCCATGTATAAAGGGAATGGCTACGTTATACGTACGTATGCCACCCATCATTCAAATATATATATTTAGTCGGTCTCCCTCTTCTTTATTTTATTTGTCATTAACTATCATTATAATATCAATTACTTCATTCTGCTGATTCATTCGTTTTCCCAATGGCGATGGTATCTCTATTTACGATTTAATAATGCATGCTGATTTCATTAGTCATTACTTCAACTAACCCTTTGCCCGGCCGGAATCATTGAACCGGATTTGCATACATGGAAGCTCATTAATCTCCCATTAGTCAATGCTTTAGTTGAGAAGTGTTTAAATATGAACTAGTACGACTCAATGTAATTCATTTGGCACGAACTTGAACCCAACATGCATGTAAGTTCATATATTATCTAAGAGTTATATTGTAACCCTACAAATTATCAACATATATAGGTTCCCCAATCGTGCTTATATACATTAAATATGTAACAGTCTAGGGGTTGTTGATGAGTTGGGTAGAATCAAACTTTTCCTTGTTCAGGTTTGGCTTGTTTATAAACGAGTCGAATTCGAGCTCGACTCGTTTATAAACGAGTTGATTCGAATCGAACACGAGTCAGTTCATTTATTAAATCTTGGCTCATCGTTAAGATAAAAAATTCGGCTCGAGTTCAATTCTAATATAAATTATAAAATTAAATATCCTAATATTTATATGTGATATATATCCTAATATTTATATATGATATATGTGATTGACTGATCTCATGTCATATATAAGACACATTTGCTCACATAATCAAAGCATTAAACATCATATGAGGTGATATATACAATTTAATAAATCTATGCATCATTAACAACCCAACTCATCATATATAGATCGAGTTTCTCATAAGTATTAGTCGAGTTGGCTTGCTAGTCGCAATGTTGACACATCTCATGACCTCAAAAAATGAAAGTGCATGAATTAAACTCAACAAACCACCTTATAATCGAGCTAGTTCACGAGCCTCACGGGCTGAGCTCAAACTCAACTCGTTAATAAACAAATCGACCTTTTCTTGAATTGAACGAACTTTTATCGAGTTGAACTCCAAACCGCTCGTGAACTGATAGGCTCATTAACGACCCTAGTTTTTACTCTGACGTATCACAATTAGGCCTGTCAATTTGGTTTGGTTTGGTTAACCAAACCATTAAGTATAAAAAACCAAAAACCAAAAACCAAAATCAAAACCATTAAGGTTCTTATTGGTTTTTGGCAACCAAAAACCAATAAGGGCCTTAATGGTTTTGGTTTTGGTTTGGATAACCAAAAAACCAACATGTACTCATACACTCATATTTATTCCTATTTCCCTCCTTTTTATTGAATAAACGTCATAATAATGGTAAATGGCCATTACAAATTATTGGTTGGCATGCGTGTCAAAAGAAACAAAAAAAAATATATATTTGTTGATAAATAATTTTATTCTTATTGGTTTCTTAATGGTTTCTATTGGTTTTTCGGTTTTAACCAAACCAAAACCATTAAGTTGCTTATTGGTTTAAAACAAAAAAACTGAAACCATTAGCTTTCCAATTGGTTTGGTTTTGGTTAAAACCAAAAAACCAAAACCAAATGGACAGCCCTAATCACAATTCACAAATTTGGTGAATGTATTAGGTTATGAATTATGCATAAATTCCATCATATATATGTCCGTAAGAATAAAATAATAAAAAAAGTGCATCCTTAATATAAGTAGTTGAATTTTTTTTCTACATCATAAATTAACGAATAAAGATTTGAGTGCACTTCGCACCGGTTTCGCACCAATAGATTCACACATTTTGTCAATCATCTATTGCAAATATTTCAAATTTCATTCTTGTATGAAAATATACATACTCTAGTTAGTTAGGCTCACCGCCTGAAGAGAAGCATTTCAAACATTAGCGGGAAAGGACCTATCGCATTCAAATTAAAGACTGATCAAACGGACAAGTTCTATATTCTCATCTGAGCTGCAAATCCTGGTTAACGGGGAAACGGCGGCGCTGAGGAACTTCCCGCCAAATATCCACATCCGTACTACTACTACTCCACGCCGCCGTTTCCGTTGCTCCCTCCCGAATTTCCCGCTTCACCGTCACCGCCGCCGCCTCTCTTTCTTCTCCTCCTTCGCTTCTCTGACGCTTCCGCTGGCAGCGTCCTTCAGCCGCCACCTTGTACTTGCCGGCGTCCACCGGGAAGTTGAGAATCGCCTTCCGTCCCCGCAGCTCGAACGCCGCCCTGTCGTACGCCCTCGCCGCCTCCAGCGGCGTGTCGAACGTCCCCAGCCACATCCGGGAGCCTTTCCTGCTCGGATCCCGAATCTCCGCCGCGTACTTCCCCCACGGCCTCTGCCTCACTCCCCTGTACTGCCTCCCGCCGCCGCCGCCGCCGCCAGATCCCCTACCCGCCGCCGTTTCGTCCGTTCCGAATCGGATCCACTCCGTCGCCGACTGGTCCGGTTCGATCTTCGGCGCTTCTCCGGAATCGAATCCGAATAAGAATAAATCATCGCCGTTCGAGCGAGGATTGGTAATAGTCCCCTGTTCTAAGAAATCACGCGTAACTTGAGGTTGGGCGATTTTAGGTTTCGATTCGTGCTCCCGAATCGGGGCCGATTTCGGAGTGCTGGTGAGATCGATTACCGCGGGACTGGTCACGAATTCCAACTCGTCGGGTTTCGCAACGAATTGGAAGAAATCGTCGTCGGGATCGAAGTAGTAATCGGAAACAGAGATGGCGGAGGAGGAGTCGCCGCAGCTGGTGGTGTTGGAAAACGACGACGCCGATGACGATTCGCAGCTGGAGTAGCCGCCGGAGGCGAAGTCGGCCGGGGAGAAGAGGTCGTCGAAGAGATGGTACTGTTGGAGAAGCTCCTCCAGGGCATAAGATGGTTCGATTCCGTCGGCGGCAGCCATGGGAGGAGTTTGAAGGGGATTTTTTTTCCAGGGGATGTTGGGGTTTTGAAGGATGAGAGAATTTTTGGAGGGAGGAGTGATTGAGAGGGAAGGTATATATAGGGAGGGAAAAGAATGCTAATTGCCGGTTTTGCAGGGAGCTAGCAAGAAAAAGGAGAAGAAGAAGTCCATTTTGAGAAATAATGTTGGGGAATCTTTCTGACCTGGCGCGGTTCGTTTGAATAATGGCAGAAGGTAAACTGTAGCTAGAGGGACATAGCACTGCGAAATCTTTGAAGAATTCATCAAAATCCATTATTAAAACGGTTAGCACCTCTCAATCAAGTAAAACCATGCATTCCCAATTTCCCATGCTTGCAAGGGGTCAAGAGTCTTTCCAGAATTGCTTGATAGACATACCGACTCGTTTTCACGAGTCTAACCCCGAGTGACGACACCGACGAACTGTCTATACCTATTTCACAAAATGGCAATCGTGGTAAGGGTTCTTCATAAAAAAAAAAAGATTTAGTTACTGAACTATTGTATATTCACGAGTCTAACCCCGAGCGACGACACCGACGAACTGTCTATACCTATTTCACAAAATGGCAATCGTGGTAAGGGTTCTTCATTAAAAAAAAAGATTTAGTTACTGAACTATTGTATATGAATTATATGTGTTGTTGGCACATCTAAGTCCAACCACTGAAAGAAAGAAAGAATGATGACATAGGCCGACGATTTCATCCAAATTCCAATTAATCAAACATAAAAATAGAGTTACGTGATCATTTTCACTAATTACTACATTTGATTGAGAAGACGCTTTCCATGCATACGAGTTTAGGTTCGTTATGTGCGAAAAAATGGGTTTGATTGACCGCCACCTCCTGAGAATAACGAAAGTTCGTCTACGCAAACGGTCAACTTGTTTCTCATAGTTTGCGCATTAATAACAGGTGGAAAGTCAAACTTGCACTTATTTGCCACTCAGCAAATTATAGTACCCGATTTGTGCAAATTGTCAAAGCTTGTGGTGGCAGTTGTAATTTTCCGAACCAACGTGGCAAATTGCTTGCAAGTGCGGAGTCAACAGGAGCGGGAATATCAACGGCCGTTGGTCAAGGATAACTTGGCCGTCTTCTTATTCCTGGCATGGTTCTGTTGTCGTTTTGGTCAGCACGCGCTTGTCGTATCATACCGACGTTTGTTTCTCTTGTGTTCGCGTTATGTGGGGAATTTTGTGCCTATAAAGCTCGTCCTTGTCTTTTAACGATGTAGGGTCAATTTTATGGGGTTTCTTACGAACAACTATACACGTTGGTTTGACGAAGCAAGCAATAAATCATTTCGTGCTTCCGTTGAATACACCTCCTAACACGAAGTAAAATAGGGCTCAAATGACTACATTTGGGGCACTTTACAGTTTATTATAGAGGTACCATGGGTTTATTTTTTTGTTATTAAATAATAATTAAGAGATTTAAATCTGAAATTTTCATATTGAAGACAAGTAGTAGAACTACTAGATCAAAATCTCTGTTCGCCAATAATTTCACGATTTTTCATAGATTAGATGTATAGTACCAAAAATAAATATAGATATATCTGTCGGAATTTTAAATTCTAAAATCTAAAATTAATTGTAATTGTGGATTGAATCATACATTATACATGCAATAGAGAAGTAATTGTCTTACAATTTAAACCAATCATCATAAGCATTGATCAGAAGACCGGATCAAATGTGTTTTATATATGTAAGGGTAAGACGAAGAATACTTTTGGGTGCTTTCGATGGAGCTGGGATACCTTGGGTTTCACTTTCAGATCAGCCCGTACGTGTTCAGCTGCTTGCATTTCTTGATCGAGTCGCAAACATTGCATTATTATTGTTAAGATACATAATAATTACATAACCAAATCAAATCAACGGTCGGATCAGTATCCAGTAGAACCATCAATCAATTAGAATAGTGGCTCGATTATTTTGTATGGGTGGTTTGAGATGGATCGAACAATTTTTAACGGTTAGACATGAAACTAGATGAATTATCCCTAATTTATTGGTTAACTGATTCACTATTTTAAGCACAAAAAATGTAAGTGTAAGAGATTAAAAGGTTTAACAAACTTTTTCCCAACAACTCGAGTTATTGAGATCAAGTGACTAGTTCGCTAACATGGTATCAGAGCATAGAACCGAAAGGTCATGGTTTCGAATCCTCATGACGACCCCCATTTAATGACTGAATCGCTAAATGTCGCCCTAAGAATTGCTAAAGGTCGCCCTAACTTACAATTCAATTTACCTATATACCCTTAATGAAATTTTAAAAAATAGGCCAACCAAACAGCCCCTTCATCCTTCCACCCTCTCCCTCTGCAAAATCAACCGCCGCCGGAGACCCTCTGCATCCCGCCGCCGGAGACCTCTGCAACCTGCCGCCGGAGACCTCTGCAACCCGCCGCCGGCCCGCCAAGTTGCCGCCGCCCGCCAGTCGCCGTCGTCCCGCCGCCGCCCGCCAATCCCCGCTCGTCCCGCCGCCCGCCTCGTCCCGTCGCCGACCCTCTGCATCTAGCGCTCCACAGTCGCGCCGGAGAAGAAGAAGCTAAAAAAAAAAAAAAACTTCGACCGCAGTCAAACCGCGGTTAGACCGACGGTCAACCGCGGTCAACGCGCGGTTGAACCGACGGCTGACCGCGGTCAAAGGGCGATTGACCAATGGTCAAACCGCGCTTTGACCGCGGTCAGCCGTCGGTTCAACCGCGCGTTGACCGCGGTTGACCGTCGGTCTAACCGCGGTTTGACCGCGGTCGTTTTTTTTTTAATTCTGTTTTTTAATATTCTGTGTTTAAATAAATGTTATTAATAATAAAAAATTAGTTATATGATATAAAAATTTGAAAAACGTTTTCGATAAATTTTAATTAATGATAACAAATTTAAAGAACATAATAAAAAAATTAAACATTTTAATAATCAAAATTTAAAAGTAATTCGTTTATCTACTTAATTATTAACAAGGTTGTCAACCCGCGGGTCAGCCCGCGGGTCGACCCGGGTTAACCCGGACCCGGTAACAAAAATGGGCGCTACAAACCCAATTAAGAAATGGCCCGGTGGAGTCAAACCCGGCTTTAACCGGTCAAAACCCGGCAAACCCGGGCGGGTCTACCCGCGGGCCGCAGCACTGGTTCCCGGGTTTGTACAAATAACAATCAGACTCATTTAATCATTTATCAATTCTCGGTCCACAAGAAAGTGGAGGATACGAGGGGTCTCATCCCATCTGTGGCTTTGATTATTTCAACTTTCAAGGATTAATTTTAATTTTGGCTTCATAATAAATTAAAATGCAGTGGCTTTCCAAATTCCAACTTCCCTTCTTCTTGTAATGTTTAATTAATTAATCATTTTATTGTGCTCGTATATATAAGCCAATTAATTATTTCAAGTTATAATTTTGAATATTGGTGTCATATGGTTAACTTAAATGTATTAAATTTTTTATTATATATTGATTTAAGTACTAACTATTATTTTGATGTAATGCTATATATTATTTGTTTATATATATTTGATATAATTTATATATGTATGAGTAATATAATGATTATTAATATAATAATTTATATATGTTATTTTTTCATATATTATGTGATGGATTTAAGTTTTGTTGAATTTTTATTATGTTGAATTTAAGTTGATGTTATTTAAGTATGTTGGAGTTTAAGTAGTGTTGTATTTTTTCTATGTTGGATTCAGGATAAGTACAATGTAATGACTCTTTTCATATTTTCGGACTAATCCGGGCTAATCCGGGCTAAAATGGGTGACCCATTAACCCATGACCCACTAGCTCGTCCGGGTCCGGGTCGACCCGCGGGTTGACAACCTTGATTATTAATAATTTTACCTTAATTAATTATTTACTTTTATGTAAATAATGATTACATAGAACGTAACGTAAATAATGATTACATGGAAATCTTAAATTAATTACTTTATGTACTCTATTATTAATAATCCATTATTAATAATTCAAACGAAAAAATCATAAATCATATAAAAAATAGAAAATTATTCAACGAAAAAAATAAACCCAAAAAATGCCCAACCGCAAGTGACCTGCGATTGGACCATGGCCGGACCACAAATCACCTGCGGTTGTACCATGGGTGGACCGCAATTGACCTGCGGTTGGACCATGGCTGAACCGCAGGTGATTTGCGGTCCGGCCATGGTCCAACCGCAGGTCATTTGCGGTCCAGCCATGGTCCAACCGCAGGTCATTTGCGGTCCAGCCATGGTCCAACCGCAGGTGATTTGCGGTTCCCTTTTTTTTTTCGTTTTTCAGTTAATGTATTTACCTCGTCGGAGTCGCTACTCCGACGATATCGGCTTCAAAATGACGATGATGGATTTTTCTCTTCTTAGATAGTGTTTTTTTAGTCCAAGTGGTGTTTGTTTGATAAAGGGAAGGTAAAGAAGCTAAGGGGGTAAAAGTGTAACTTTGATTCTTTTTAGGGCGACCTTTAGCAATTTTAAGGGCGACCTTTAGCAACTCCCTTTAATGACAATTCCTTTAGCATAAGGAATGGTATGTCCAACATGTGGAAACTAAAGCCTCGTGGTTTGGCAGCACAAGGGTTCAACCTGTGCAAACCGTAAAAATCCACAATTCGATATCAGCTTTCGTTTGACCAGGGGGCGTGAGAGAGATTAAAAGGCTTTACAAATCATTTCCCAACAACTCGAGTTATTGGAGCAAGTGGCTAGTTCGCTAATAGTAAGAGAATAATGGAAAAAAGCAAAACCCATAACTGAGTTTTTGAAATTTTATTTCCAACTTACCCGACCCAGACCCATGCATGAAGTCTGCCTAATTTAAAAATTCATATGTATATGATCACTGATCTCATCCACTGATGACAATTTCTTATCTGATCTGTGCAACCCGATATGTTCTTGCAAAATAATTAAAAATCGACATTCTTTTTTCAAATAATTAACA